TACAGGTAGCTTAGTATATTGGCAGATGCCCCACTTATATCACAGCCTGCATTTATAGCCAGTCCCAGTATCTTTGGGTTATGAATTCAAGTGTTTCATCAATTGGAAGTGAACCTATTAAAATATAGTTGTTCTGAACATGTTGCCTAGTTGTTTTGTGGTCATTGTTCCCTATATAACATACTGTAATGACTATTTACATAGTGTTTGCACTGTATTAGGTATGAAAAGTAGTCTGCAGGTATGGGTAGGTGCAAACAGCACACTCCTTTATGCACAAGACAAGTATCTATGGGTTTTGTCACTTTTATTTCAGTGTTGAGCATGGAATCCAGCGCCCTGCATGTTCTAGGCAAACATGCAACCACTGAGCCATATATCAGCTGATCTGTGAATTTCAATATCCACAGGGGGTCCTGGAATCAATCCCCCAGGAAGGGATAACTGTAATATGTTCCTGACTTGCCATGGGAGGCTACTGACCACTCAACAGATGCTTTCTGCCTCCTGTTCCCTCAGTCACTTGTTGCATCATTTCAGGGATAATCTCGATCTTCTCCTTTGATCTAGTCAGGATGGAGACCAAGTGCTGTCCTCCCAAAGTACAGGTGTAGCCTTGGAGAGCCTGTGTGGCCCTGAGGACAGACCTCCCTCCCCCGCTCCCCGTGTGTGTTTCTTTGCTCAATCCACCACACAGGATGTGTCAAATACAGCAGTGCTGTGTTGTGAGCGGAATATAAGACAGGACTAGCCTGGCAGTTTCCTTGCATAGAGGTATGCCATGCCCCACCTTTCGTTGTTTGTCTCCCTGTAGCCCCAGCTGGCTTAGAACTCACTCTGTTGACCAGGCTGGCCTCGGTCTCACAGATACCCGCCTGTCTCTGCCTCCTGTGTGCTGGGATTAAAGGTATGTACCACCATGCCCGGCATGCCACCTGTTTTTATGTGACATTTTACAACATTGCCTGGTTGGAGGGTTTATATGTGGCTCCAAATAAGGAAAACTCTCACAGTTCAGAGGGCATTTCTCTGCAGAGCAAGGAGTAGCTGCGTGTCTCTGCTTGGGCTTTCCTTCTGCCATAGTTCCCAAGCAGGATGGACCTACTTTTCTAGAAAAACTGGTTTAGAAGAACATTGCAAGAATCCTGAGATAACAAACTTGGAGAGCCCTGTAGCCTGTAGCATGTAGTCATGCTCCAAGGACTAGAGAAGAAAAAGACCTTAGAGTAAGTGGAAACACCGTACAAAGCTCCTTCCTCCTTGTCCTCTGGTTTGAGTGCACAGAGTTTCAAGGTGAGGTGCTTGGAAAAGCCAGAATGCCTGGGTAGTGTTAGATTGTGAAAAAGATATTGTACACATTCCCCTCAGAACTCTTAAGCTCATATCTCTTCCTTAAAGAGGAATGTTGAGTGCAGACATGGTTCTGTGTGTAATTCTCCTCAGCTTTTCTCTTACCATACTGGAGCTTTTTTCTTCTCCTTGCCAACCCCTCCTCCTCCTTTGAGCGACAAGGTCTTATGATTCCAGACTGGCCTCCACTTTCCTAGGTAGCCAAAATTGTCCTTGAACTTCTGATCCTCTGGCCTCCACCTCTTGGGTGTTGGGATTGTAGGCATACAGCAGCATGCTTTATGTTATATGGTGTTTGGAATCAAACCCAGAGTTTCATGCATGCTAGGCAAGCACTGTCCTAGTTGAGCTACATTCCCAGCCAATGCTCCCTCCCTCCCTCCCTCCCTCTCTCCCTTCTTTCCGCCCTTCTTTCTGAGTTCTGCAGTCTTTCCTTCATCCTCCTGGCTTGACCCTTCCTGGCATCCTTGCTCTCTCAGCTTCTGACAGCCCAGGTGTGAGCCCTGCCCTGTTTCCTCAGCTTAAGGAAGTCTCTTGGGCAGGTGCTCTGGAAATGCTGAACAAATAGCTGAATCCTCTTCCTTCTTCACTGATGGACTTCTCCAGAATGCATACCTGCTCAGCATTCTGAGTGTGCCCACCCCCTGCCCTCCCATCTCCCTGGCGCTCCCCTCTGTGGGCAGAACTGCTCAGGATCTTCATCCGCAATGTCCTTTCTCCTTCTCAGCAATGCTGACCTCCACTGGCCTTCTCTTTCCCCGAAGCTGCGTGGTCCCGACCCCCCAAGTCAACTCCTGCCCAATTTTGTTATTTGGAAAATCAGAAATCTTCACTTTCACGTTTATTTATTTTAATTAGGTCTCTTTTCTTCTGCTCCTGAGTGAAGCCCTGACTTCTTCAAGGTTCTCTTCTATGCCTCCTTCCCTCTGTGAGCTCAGCTGTGCCAGAGGCTTCAACAATAATATGCGTAAGGTCATTTCCAAGTTCACCTGGCCAATCTCAACCTCATGTCTGAACTCCACTTCCATATTCCAGATAGCTACTGGACATTGCTACATGGATTTCTAGTAAAATAAAAAATGGATTATTCTGATTTTCCAAACTGCCCATTACCTTATTCCCACTCCCCCGCCCCAAAACTTATTTTCTTGATATGACTATTTCTGCTGTCTGCCGTTACCACCATCCTACTTATTAGTGCATTTGAAGGTATTGGCACCATCCTTGAATCTTTCCTTGGATCCAGCCACCTGGATCCAGCCACCTGGATCCAGCCTCACTGTCTTTTGTAAAATGGTTCCAAGGACATAGACCGTTGAAAATGTTTATCAGCATTTATGTCAGTGCGCAGGACAGAGTAGACATGTAACAAGAATTCATTAACTAGATAGCCGTGGCCCGTGCTCTTTTGCACATGGACTCCAGGTTGCTTAGAGGGGAATTCCTGGAATGAGCCCCTCCGGTGCCCTCTCCTCACTGTGTTCTGAAGTTGAGGGCATCAGAGGTGGTATAACGTCCATTATATTTGCATGCCCTCCTCCCCTTGCCACAACCCTGGGGAGTCGTGTAGAAGACCAAAAGCTCTTCCAGTCCCTTTGTTTTCTGTCCCTACTCAAGGGCTCGTGGAGATGATGAGGCAAAGCACAGGTCACTGCTAGCGCCATTCTGCCGAGCCCAGTTCTGAGCATCTGGCTTAGTCTGGCATTTAACACCTACTTCTTCTTCTTCTTGTCACTGTATCTTTATTGTCACTGTGCTCTTACAGCTCCCCAGCTCTTCAGGTCTCTAAGCTCTGGGCTTCTCCTCTGCCTCTCCTGTACCTTTAGTTCCAGTCTCCCCTGTTCACCTGCAATCCTAGGATTTCTCTGTCTCATCCCAGGTCAAGACCTTCTTCCCCTGAGAGTGGTCACTGCCTCCTGCAGCCTTCAGTGCTCCCTAGAAATGGTTTGGGGGACATCCGTATGACTGTCCTAACTGAAACAAAGGCTCTCTGGACTCTGCATCTCTGCCCTTCTTGGTATCCACCACTGCCTGCTCTGGTGTCTTCCTCCTATTATCAGAGAATATTATCCAAGAATTACTTAGAGGAAGGTTGAGAGATGGGCATAATAAAAATATTATTAGTTGACCATAGGAGAGTGTAATAGAGGCAGTTTTATGACAAATGGCAGCTTTCTAAGGTTAATTAACCACTTGGCATTTCCTGAAACAGAAAGCTGTCAGGATTGACACCAGGGCTCATCTCAAGTAGGGCACTCAGGGATCTATCTTTCCTTCTACCTGGATACTGCCTTTGCTGTTTATTCACTTGTGAAGTGATACTTCTGAGAGATACTTTAAGAATTATTTTTATTTATGTGTATGTACAAGTGTGCAGAAGCCTGCAAAGGATGGAGGAGGGCGTCAGAACCCCTGGAACTGGAGTTGTACGGGTGCTTGTGCGTACTGGGAACCAAACTCCATTGACTGATACTTTGAAATCCTTCTTATAAGGAGGTCTGTTCCAGTCTCCTCAGTAGTTCTGCTTAGAATTTCCTTAGATTGCAGGAAGTGCCCATTGTCCTGAGAAGAGCAGAAAGTGCCAAAGCAAAGATCAAGTTTGGCAGCCTGCTTCTGTAATATATCCGGAAGCAGCACTCTGAAATGGGCCCATCATCCCTGGACACTTTAACTGGGAACCTTCTTCTGCTTAGCATAAGGAGACCAGAGACAATCCCACTGTAGACTTCTAACTAATACAACATGGACCAGCCTTACTGGCTGGTACTGGGAATTGGCTAAACCTAATTTTGGACCACTGTGATCTGACTAGGTCCCAGAGCTGATGCTTTAGTTTTAGGGACTGTATCTCATGGCCTCTCCTAGTCACACTCCACCTTCCCCTGGTCTCAGGGACCATGTCCCCATCTGGAGCACAGAACTGGAATGTAACACAACCTCTGAGTCCAATTGCAAACAAGGGTTATTTAAGAAGCTTCACCAAGTGTCATTCTACCCAGGTAGCATTATCTTCTCACACGCTGGTGTGAATCTCAAGGCAGCCCCATAAGTAAATAATAGGCTGGCCAAAGACAGCAGTTAACCTCTTTTGAACTCCTGTTATGTGGCAGGCACCAGGGGAAGGAACTGATATTCTTAGCACCCCTGTTCCTCACAACGATTATTATAGTAGATATTAATATTCCCATTTCAAAGATAAGGACATTGAGCCTTAGAGAGATGAAGTAATTTTGTCACACAGCTGGTAGGTAGCAGGGCTAGGATTTGAATGAAACCAGTCTAACTCTAAAAGGCATCATTTTAAGGTACTGTAATGGTCATGGAAACAGCAAACCTTTGAGCTACCGTGTAACTTGGGTTGCAGGGAGTCTCTTAGACTTAAGCAGTTGTGGTACCTGATGCTAGCACACTCTCACCCTCATGGATAATGGAAACCATGTCTGCCTTCTTCCCATCCCATCATCTTCAGTTTCAAAATGGGCATGTGCAAACACCAAGCCCATTGTGTTTGCAAACAAACCAGTGCAGGTTGGAAGCATTTTGTTTCATGTAATTTTTTTCCCAGGGACTTTAAATACTAAAGTGATTGGGAAACATAATATTCTATAAATAAAGATATTCATTCCATTTGAATTCTGTTTTGTTTGCAGAGAATGGCAAATCAGTCAATTGGAAGCTGGGTGCTGATAAGGAAGTATGGGTGTGGGTGATGGGTGAACACCATCTAGACAAACCCTATGATGTGCTGTGTGACGAGATCCTTGCTGAGAGGGCACGGCTCAAAGCAACAGAGGACGCGGGACTCAGGTAGGAGAGCTACACTGCAGCCGGAGACTGTGCATTTAAAAGGACATGGTGCATTGGTTACTGTTTTCATTATTGTGACAAAATTCCCAGCACGAGTAACTGAAGGAAGGAAGGATTTGTCTTGGCTCACAGTTTGAAGGGATGCAATCCATCATGGTAGAGGGCATAGTGGCAGAAGTGGGAGGCGTCTGGTCACACTGTACTCAAGGCCGACCCTAGTGACTCAGTTCTGCCAGTGAGGCACCACCTCTTTGTGGTTCCACAACCTTCCCAAAAGGCAACCTAACTGGAGACCAAGTGTTCCAACCCATGAGCCTGTGGGGGCCACTTCATATTCAAACTACAAGATGCTGCAAACAGACTTCTTGCTCACAGCGTCTGGTGGGAGTGGGAATGGGAATGTGACAGGACTTGTGGTCAGAAGACCATTTTAGATCTTTCTAGAAGTTCCTTTTATGATTTCATTGACTCCTTTCATTCTGCAATGCTATCAAATAGTTGCTTCATGCTCCCATTGGGCATTTCCACTGGTTTGTCTGAGAGTGCAGGTTTCCCATCTGCCCTCACTGTTTCAGGTGGGTCTTGCTACAGTACAACTCAGTGCAGCCAGAGTGAGGCATGTCTGTGAGAGTTGAGCCATAAGCCTACCAAAGCCTCAGGAGCTTAAGGAGAAGATCGCTTCATGGTGGGCAGCTGAATAGGTTGATGCTTTCTGTATGCCAGGCACCAGAAGCACAAAGAGAAACAGCCTAGGAAGAGAAACGGGCAGATATACAGCCAGCTGTTGGCAAAGCAGACTACTGTGGTGTGGTTAAGGTGTGAATGGAATGTCCCAGTCTCTGGTAGGAGCTTAACATTCTCATACATAGAAAAGATGAAATCTGAGTTGAGCCTTAAAGGGTGAGTGTCCAGCTACAGAATGTCAGGAAGGAAACTGCAAGTGGAGGTCGAAATCAGGAGTCCTGGCTTGTTTTTGAACAACTCTGTGGGGAGTGATGAGTTCTGGGCACTTGAAGTACCCCTGGGAGAGCGGTAGGAGATGGGAAGCCATGCACTAAGGTCCCCTGAAGGACAGACACAGGAGTCTGGGCCTCTTTCATAGGCAGTGAGGTTTTCAATAGGAAACTGACATAATCAGCTGGTCATTTAAGGTGACCTGGAGGGAACAGTGAAACGAGTAATGATCTCCTCTTCTGGGTGCTGCCTTCTGGTTCAGGGAAGTGGTGACAATAACCCTACTATAATCTGGTGAACTGGAAATTGCAACAGACACGATGACCTCATTTCTGTCCCCAAAGGCTGACAGTCACTCTCCAACTCTTGTGATGTAAAAACTTTATAAACACTCGTATGAAGAGACAGGGGGCATTCTAGCGAGTAATGATCTCCTCTTCCGGGTGCTGCCTTCTGGTTCAGGGAAGTGGTGACAACAACCCTACTATAATCTGGTGAACTGGAAATTGCAACAGACACGATGACCTCATTTCTGTCCCCAAAGGCTGACGGTCACTCTCCAACTCTTGTGATGTAAAAACTTTATAAACACTCGTATGAAGAGACAGGGGGCATTCTATGACTATAAGAAGCAGCATGCCCATATGCCCTAGCTTCTGAGTCAGGTGTTGGCAGGACTGAGTTCAAATCATGCCAGTACCACTATGTGATCTTAAGGAAATTGTAATATTTCTTTGAGACTCTTCTTACAAAGCAAGGATAACAAAGCTTTCCTCTGAGAGGTGTTGTGAGGATTTAGCCACTGCCTTTCTACTTCCTAGTGAAGGACCTGGCAGATGATAAGTGCTGTAATAAGCAATCTGCTGCCGTTTTCCACCTGGTTTGATTGTAGACATCTGCTTAGGAAAGGCTGTCCACGTTGAAGAACATTTTTGATCATTTTGCTTTTGTTTCTCTGCAGAAAAGCTCAGACTGTAGAAATCGCCAACAGCTTGAAAACAAAATCACAGAACCACCATCTGCAAGCACCAGAGAAGCAGGAAATTCAAAATGCCTGTAGGAAAGGAGCTGCAGAGGAGGCATCAGGGCAAGGATCTATAACAGCACCAACCCAGTACAAAGACAAAACCCAAGTGAGTCTTGTATACTCTCCACTGTCAGAATCTCATAGCTGGGGGAAAGGATGCTATGGAGGTCACTGGCACAAATGGAGCCAGGCACCCAAAGCCTGGAAAAATACCTCCCACCTTTGAGGTCCTGACATCCATCTCCTGTTTGGGGGTGTGTGTTTTAACTTGTACATCATGAACAAGATAAAGGACTCCTCTCTCCCAATGGGACTGAAGGTTCTTAGAGAGAACTCAGTAAAATTTGGCATTTTAAGATAGTTTGAGGTCCCCTGCCCCCATTTCTATAACAGAAGCTGATTAATTTTTTCTATAAAAGTCTCATAGTAAACAGGGTAGGCCTTGTGGGGCAAGCGATCCATGTCACAGCTGCACTCGAATAAGCATTCCTGTGTTTCAGTAAAACTTTTACAGAGATAGATAGAAGGCTGGACTTGGTCCATTCCTGAGTCAGACTGTGGTTTTTTGAGTATTTCTTTATGCAAGGGCTCTAAACATGGGAACCTTTTTGACTTCATAGATTCTGCCTATGATGTGGGAATAGCTGTTTCCTTAACAAAATAGAATTTTACACTAAGAACAGGTATGGATTATTTTATGGCTCAGGTGCGTTAGAAAGTTCAAATATACTTTGCTGTTTGGACTATAGTTTGAAGCTGAGCCATGGGGATATAGTTATCTCTCTGCCCTGCCCATCTATGCTCTGGGCCTGGTAATACCCTAGTAATTAACATGAGTCAAGGGTTATTATGTGGAAAGGAAGACTTGGATTGCTGAGTGTCTCCTTTGATACTCATAACACTACAATTAACTATTATTTTTGTCCATTTAATTTAATTTTTATGGGTCACTCATGTTGTATATGCATTTGTGCATGTATGTGTTTATATGTAGGGAGTAGATGTGTGTGTGTGTGTGTGTGTGTGTGTGTGTGTACAAGAAAGCATGCCTGAGTGTGAATGCTTATAGAGGCCAGAGGACAATTTCATTGAAGGCTGTCTTCCTCCTTTGATATAAGGATGCTTATTTGCCTGAACCTCAATGATTAAGCTAAACTGGTTCACCAGTGGGCCCCAAAGACTCTCTTGTTTCCACCTCCCCAATACCGGCGTTATAAGCATGCATCACCACACCTAGCATTTTTACGTGGGTTCTAAGGATTGAACTCAGGTCCTCATACTTGAAAAGCAAGTGCTTTACCGATTAAGCCATCCTGCCCGCCCCTATCTTTGTCCATTTTACAAGTGTGGAACTTGAGGGTAGGTCTGATTAAGCAACCTGCCAAAGGTCTTGTTCACACCCAGATCTGTAGGAGCTCTAGGTCACCCCTTAACTGTTAACTCTAGCTAGCAAAGGCTTCGTTATTTTGAGGAAAGCAAAGAACCTTTACAAATATAAGATTTATAAGATTTAGTCCAAAATTCTAAAAGCTGGTTTTGTCCTGGCATCTGCCCTGAGGACGTCATTCACTCACCTGCTGAGGCCCCCAAACTTTCCCATACCCAGTGTGCACTCAACACGTTTTACACTAATGTCCCTCTAAGCTACTCCTGTTTCAGGTCCCTAAAATAAAGAGCAATAGCAGCAACACAAACCTTCAGTACACTGCGTGTGCATGCTTATCTTTGTGCTAGAATTGCAACATTTTCATTGCAATTTTTTTTCAAAACTAGGATAAAAGATCAAATAGAAACTCAGTAGATACTGTGATTAATATTGTTCAAGCATATCATATATATTAAGAGACCGTGGCACAGTTCCACTCCTTAGATGCCTACTAAAGTATCAAATGGAGAGAGATGAGGTGGGAAAGAAGGAAATATTCAGGTTCGAGAAATATGGAACTTGGTAAAGAGTTTTCCACCCATTTCTGCTGATCCTCTTTTCCTATGTCAGGGGAGCTGCCAAGCTCTGCTGTGATGTTTGCTGGAGTTCACTAGGACAGTGGGACGTTCCAAGAGGATGTGATCTTTACATTTAAATACCAGGTCACCTTATATTATGTATAAATTGTTGAATGGTAGGTTTATATTTTGCTTGTGAATCCTGCCTATGTTACCACAGTGGGATAAATCCTATCTCCTTAAACTTGTGCATACTCACAACTCAGAATGTTAAGCTCAATTGGAAATAGGTTTTTGCAAATGTACTTAAAGGTTCTAACAACGTGAGATTGTCCTGGATTTAGGGCAGTCTCTAAATCCAATGACAGGTGCTCTTCTTCTTTTAAAACATATTTTATTATTTTAATTTTATGTATATGACTATATTGCCTGCATGTGTGTGAGTACACCTGTGTCGTGTGGTCAGAAGAGGGCACTGGATCCCCTGGAACTAGAATTAGGATGGTTGTTATCCACCATGTGGGTGCTGGGAATTGAACCCAGGACCTCTGCAAGAGCAGTCAGTGCCCTTAACTGATGAACCAACTCTCCAGCCCTTACAGGTGCCCTTCTATGGGAAAGGTGGAGGGAGATTTGAGAAACAGAAAAGCAGAGAGGAAGGCCAAGGGAAGAGAGAAGGAGTGGTATTGTGTTGCCCCAAGCCAGGGGCCATGAGGTGCTGAAAGAGATGATGCAGATGCCTTGATCCCAGAGTTCTGTGTGCAAGAGAAGCCTCTGTTGCTTACAGTAGTTTATTGCATCAGCCCTGGGAAATGACCCAGTTGCTTCTAGGACACTCTCTCAGGAATGCTGCACCGTGCTATCTTCATTGTCAACAGTTCCTATCGGACATCCTTTATCTACTGGCGCTTTAATCCTTTACTCTTGAGTCTCTCTGATGATGGGAAGGGAATGAGTAAGCCAAGCATTGAGCAGAGTGATGACAACGGTGCTCACATCCAGATTCCAGGCCCCTGGGAGTGCATCGCTTTTCATGGAAAAAGGACCTTTGCTTGAGTGACATGCTAAAGACTGTGCCACGGGCACTCATCAGGGATTTTCTAGGAGGGCTTAGCTAAATCGCGTGAGTCCTGGAAAGCTGAGACTCTGTCTCTATGAGAGTCAGAGGGAAATGTAGGTAAAGAATAATGACCAGAGAGACATAGCGGGAAATGTAGGTAAAGAATAATGACCAGAGAGACATGGTGTTCTTTTTGATTGGATGGAGGAAGGGCCCAGGAGGGAACCAAGGGACACGGGCAGCTTTTCAAAGCTGCAAAAGGAAAGGCAAGGTTTCTCCGAGCTTCCAGGAGGAAGTCTGCCAACAGCTTGATTTTCATCTAGTGCTGGCTCGCTCACCCACAGAAATGCAAAGTAATAAAATTCATGTTAATAAAAACTACTGAGTGGTACGGGGGCAATAGAAGATCGATATGATCTGTAGAAGACGATAATAAATACAGAACGCCATGTCAATCCCTGCCACCTGCCACATTCTTTCATTGGTTTCCTTTCCTCTTTTCCTTCAGCAGTTTTAACTTACAGATGGGAAGGAGGGTATCCCAAGGCTGATTTATTTATTTGTTTCTTTTTAAAAAAAAATTTAATAACTACGTGATTAAAAGAAGCATTTCACTACAGCTTTAACATATTCAGTAGCACACTCCAGAGCAAGAGTACATCTCTTTCACAAGTGGCTGTAAGTTTCTAGGTTCACAGTTGAATTAATATTGTTATGCAATATTGAACTCAGTATAAGCCCTGTAAGACACAAAATTGAATGAGTGTTTAACCTTTAAAAAAGATCTCCATTTCATTTTAGAGTACGTTGTTCCTTGCAGAAAGACTCATTGTTTTTGCTTCTAACACTGAGATGTTGGCGCATGCATGTCTAATCTGTATGCATCTGATTATTACTAGTCATAATCGGTTGCACTAGGCTCCTATCGCCCGTGTATGTCTGTAAAGTCATCGGGTAGATTTCAGTGGTAATGTTTATCACCTCTACCAATTAACATGACGTAAATTTCCATGCTTCCTCCTCAAATAGAATACATTTTTAAAAATTTGTTGATTTTTTGTGTGTGTGTATTTTGAGTGCCTTTTACGTGCAAAGCGGAGATGACAAAGTTGGAGTAAAAACAACCAGTTTGCATGTGCTTTGTGAATGAGAAGGCAGGGAGAGACTTCATCTAACCTTGACTTCCAAATGATAATAAGTGTTCTCAGGGAAATGATGGGTGTCTGTGCACTTATATTACATTAGGAGTTGGGCCAGGGAGTCCTGAGTGGCCTTGCAGAAAACTGGAGCTTGAGCTGATGAACAAAAGGCTTTTGGGGTTGACATGTCCAGCCAAGGGCAGCGTGGGACTCCTTGGAGGAGCCAAGCAGAAGGGAAAGTGTGTCTTGTTAAGCGGGGAGTAGACAGACAGAGAACACAGGGCCTCTGGGAAACTTAGTGTTTTTACGCTATTTTTCAAAAATAATTAGAAAAGATCAATGAGTTTTGAGCAGCTTTATATTTTGAAAAGGAACTTGTCATTCCTGTAGGACTAGGTAACACAGTCAAGGCTCTAAGCATGGGTGCCTGTGGGAGTGGGAAGTCATATGCATTATGTCATATGCACAACAGCTGAGTAGAGGAGTTGATTATAGAGAACACAGCAAGGGTTTCTCATGCTGATCACAGCGGTAGTGGGGGTAGAAGCCGACTTTATTCATAAGTATATGCAATGTGACTGAGAGCTTTCTCTCATGGCATTATTTCATTTTGCATCATTTTGTGACCTCTTGTGAAATAAACAATGCAAGTATGAGAACTTCTTCTCTACAGATGAAGAAAGGGATCTTCAAAGAGATGGAAAGATTTGCCTTTGAATCACAGCTTGGAATGGCCTTGTTTTGCGTATTGACTTTTGCATATCGTCCCCACTCAAACTTTGCTATGCTAAAAATGTTCTGTTTTTTTGACATGTGAAAAACATTCTTCACCTCTCCCAGAGAGCTCTTCCTTTAGATGAGAACTCCTAGGGACATAAAGGCTAGAGTGAGGAGAGTCATCCAATACATTTCCATATTGAAATCATTTTCCCAGCAAAGATTCCCAAATCTCAGCTAGTTTCT